TCAGAATTGCTGCACACTTTTCAGATGAGTTCATGTTAACCAAACAAAAACTGATATCCCTGGATTATTAAAAAAAAAAAAATCTGCATGCTGCACATTTCGCAGGGAACATCAAAAGCTGTCCTTATGAAATCTGCCTGGAACCACATTTTTATGACTTATAAAAGAAATTAGGCCCTACACTCAAAGGGTCGGTTATTAAATATTTTATCTTTAAAAAAATCGGCAGGCTGAAAAACATCTGTATTTCATAGATAAAAATTTCAAGAGATAGAAATGAACTTAGGTCTTAAACTTTAATCATGATCCAAAGATGCTGCTTAACAAAGGCTCTGCCTTCGATGGACTGATCTTCCTAAAGTATTTTTAAAAGGTTAGCAAATAGAGTTAACCTTCAAAATAAGTTCAAGGGTGTGTTTCTAAATGTGTGGATTCTGTTACCTGGAATACAGATCAAAATGCTACAGTATTTTCAAAGGAAAATTAGCTGTTTTCCCGGTTACATACAAATACCTTTAATGTATGTTTTGGGGATCTTTAAATTCTATTTTCTATTTGTTTTTTTTTCTGCTCAAAACAAGAGCACAAGATGCCCATTAAGAAAAGGAAGAACAACTGGAGGTTATGTAAGGACAGCGGCTTCTTTTTTTTTTAAAGATGTTGTTTATTTATTTGACAGAGAGAGAGAGAGATTACAAGTAGGCAGAGAGAGAGGAAGGGAAGCAGGCTCCCCGCCTAGCAGAGAGCCCGATGTGGGGCTCGATCCCAGGACCCTGGCTTTAACCCACTGAGCCACCCAGGTGCCCCAGGACAGCGGCTTCTAATCACTACGTCAACTGATACCTGGTTAGAAATCTACCTCCCCCCAAAAGAAAATTGGTATTTATAGAACAGCCAGCATTTCGAATATACAGTTAGTGTTATGACTACACTCTATTTTGAAGTTCTTAAGCTTTTTACCTGCGACCCAACAGGAAAAATTGTTGCCATTTATAATGCGGTGCTCGGTGAAGAGTGGTTTCTGCTTACATCACTTCATTTCAAAGGATTTGCTAGGACAATCAGATTGCCTCAAGCTGAAACAGCCCAATTACTAGTAAAAACTGCCTCAGACTTTAAGAGCCTACAGGGCTTTAAAAATCAATGATGCTATAGTATTTGCATCCTAAAAAAGGCAGCCAAAAACCAAACTAAACAAATGTTGGAAATGTATTCTTCAACACTGTTTCAAAGTATTTCTACTCTTCATTCATATACCCATTGAGAGACATAATTAGACCCTGCCAGCTCCATCAATAGTTGTCTATGGCTAATGGGCATAGCCCAGACAATTAGGACACACAGTAAATATTTTGAAAAAATAAAATCAGATAAAGGTAATTTCACATACGTAGTTATTTATACAACCCATTGTCACTTTAAATTAATGGGGGTCATGAGAAAAATAAAAATCAACATGTGTAAAAAGTTATCTTAAGCTTTTGGGCTCTTGTATCATGCTGTTCTAGTACAAAATGTTGTTGTCTACCTAAATCCCATCGGTTTGATTTTATATTAGTCCTGGGAGGTAAGACTGTATTACTGTGTGGGCCTCTAATTACGGTGTAATTATCATACCCTAAGAACACAGGTAAGCCAGGGGAACATTTGTTTCGGGGGGCAAACACACAGGAATGACATCATGGATACATGAAGAGCCCTTTTCACCTCTCTTTATCAGTGAATCCTCAATCAGGGGTTAGATCAGAGAAGTGGGGAAAGGCTCCCAATCTGCTGCAATTCTTGTGAGATCCCCTGGTACAGACCAGACCAGACATCCATGGAGAATTCAGCAGAAAAGATGAAACATAAGCGGCTTCCTTTTCAAAGGCATTCATTCATTTAGTCACTCACTGATTCTTCTAATTATTTAACACATATTTTTTTTCAAGGACTGCAAAGTGACAGGAAAGTTGCTAAGCACTGTAACTGCAAGTCTTTGGATATAGAGACACGTAATAAACATAAAACAATGTGTTACGTGGTAATAATGGATTGGCCATGGTATCACAACAGCAGGGAATACTTTTTGAGAGAGAAAGAATACCTACTTTTTCCAGGACAGAGATGAAGCAGAGATCAAACAATGAAATAGGTAAGTAGTATTGTATAGGCCATATTGAGAGGAAGCAAAGTTGTCAGAATTCAACTCATGAAGGCTCAGTACTTAAAGACTGCATTTTGAGCAGCTGCATACAAGAATAAGATTCTGTGATAGAAGCCCCGGTGTAAAAAATGGGAGTTTCCTCACAGAAGATGCCCAACATCTTGGGCAAATTAACAGATACATGGAGGTCCTTCTAGAAAGAATCACAGCCATTTCCTCAGCTAGATTATTAAGGAAGGTCTGGAGAATTAAACAGAACACAACAGAAGCTCTTTAGAATTTTTCATAAACACATGTGTGTGTTTGTGTGTGTCTATGTATATTATAGCAAAGGATGTAAGTCTAAGTGTAGATGTCCATGCATGGACCCCCTACCCATCCCTGTACACCAACTACTCTCTTTACAAACTTTCCTGTTACTCAAGGCAGTGAAAAATAGAATCCCAACAATTCTAGATGATATAGCAAAGAAACCCATGATTTTGATTATAAGAGTATCAGAAACCATCAGTAATGACTTAAATAGTTATTCACTCAAAAAAGGCTCAACACCATACAAGTGACAGATTCCTGATTTTCCAATACAACCCATTTTATCTATTTTTGGATGATCTGAAAGCTGCCCAGGGCTAGAATTATTCTTGAAGTCCAGTTCTGGTTTCCAGCTTACTTCTTTCCCTTTTCCACTGAGAAGCAATTAATTGTTTTGTGTTTTTGGTGTTTCCAGTTTGCCCATACTACAGCAGGTGGGTCCCATCTCCAGCAATGCTGACAGTTTCTGAGACACTGTAATGTTCCTTAGGAAGTTCTCAGATATTTTCAGCATATTCCCCAAATGTCCTTTTTCTGCATTCCAAAATACCTTTCCAGATCTAAATGAGCCCATCTCATAAGAACAGTAAGCTTCTAAATGATATTTATTGTAACACAAAAACTACACTTTCCAGAATATACAAACAGTCCCTGTTGAGCAACATAAAGTCAATAGCTCCAGACAACAAGCGTTCCTTCTTACCCTTTAAACTCTAAAGCCTGTCATTTCATTACAGTTTGAGAAATGGTTCTACCATTTATCTGCCTTTTTCATTCAATGGGAAATTATACAAAAGAAGACTAACACATCACTTTTTACAAATAATATTCATCATGAATGGCTAATAATACACATGGTGGCAATTATTCTCAATTACTTATATTCCCGGGTATAAGTTGTATATAAACACACATAACACATTTCTTTCTTCCATTACTCCTTTCTTCATATTTGAGCTTATGTGTTTCTACAAGTAATGATTTGAATTCAGAAAGTATTATCAAAAGAAAATGAAAAGGTTACATAAATGTCACTGCCTTGCTACGAATTTTACATGTTCTTGCTGAACTCAACTCTGTGAATATCTGGACTGGCTTTCTACTACAAAGAAAAAACATCTATGCATGAAATAGTGTTTCTGACAATAGCTTCTTGACAAAGAAGAAGCTTGAAAACGTGTGAAAAAAATCCTTCGCCTAATCACACGTTTATACATGCATTGCCCTCATTTTTCTTTTCTATAGTAATACTGAATCTTAATAAGAAAGTTCATACTACTTATTGCCTCTTTATCTATAAAAGAAGAGTTTTCACAGCCTCATATATACTTGCAGAAATCAGAGCATATCAATCAGAACCCAAACTGGTTTTTCCAAACCATGCAATATATTTTAATGTAAAAATGAGGAGGTGAGCATGAATTTTTATTGTTGTTCTTGGGGTTACATAATAATGTCACTGATGCCCACATGGTGTAAACATAAACTATCAAAACAGAACTTGAAAAATTATTTCATCAGTACAGTTGAATTCCCATTGTATTAATTTATCCTTAGGTCTCTTTGTCTAAACTTTGAGATGTTGAAGACTCTTGTGTCTTCTCCTTGTTTGTAGCTTCTCACAATGTCATATCTTATTTCTTTAAAAAACAATGTAATGTCTCAGGAGTTGTTTTTTTAATAAGTAATTTGTTGAAAAAATTCTAGAAAATTATAAAATGAGATCATTCATAATCATAGGACTCAGGTATGGAATTTTCTCACACATTATTTTTTTAACTCTTAAAATTTTAAAAAATTCTCTATTAAAATTTATTTTCCTTTTAAATTCTTTTAAATTTTTAAAAATAAGTAGTATGCTTTATTTTTAAAAATTTAGAAAAGTGTAAGGAAAATAATGAAATCACAGTCCCATCACCCAGTGATAGTCTACATTTACTTCTATTTCCATATCTACTCTCTGTAACTAAAGTAGGATAATATTTTATTATCCTATATTATGCTTTTCCATATACCAATTAATGAGTAATTTACTATGTCATTTAATATTCTTTAAAAATATACACTTTAATATCTCCATAATTTACCAGCCTATATCTTCAGGAAATCATCAGGCAGTAGAAAATATCTCTGTTTAAACATTAATGAAATTTCTTACCAACTCAGCCAGCTTTATTTGTGAAACAAGGAAATACAGGCTTACTTCTCCTTAAAAAAACTGTTTTTCTTAAATTGAGCTAATATATATTAACTAAATTTGGATCTCACTATGTACTGCTTACTCCACTTTTCTAGCATAATTCTTGTGCCAAGAAAGAAAGTAAGAAAAAAAGAGTATTTAGGCATTTGAGATAAGTGTAGACTTTCTCAATCTAGATGAAAAATGACTTCATAGTATAACTTTCTCAAACATGATTTTCTGTAGTATTATGGTGATAAACAACTTCTTTATTTAAGCTAGTAGAAGAGCAGCAATAATGAAACATATATTCAGCATGTTTAAAATTTTATCTTCCCCTGCAGAGGAAGAAATCATGTTTACCTGGGGATATGATATAGAAGAAGTCTTTAAATTCATCCATCCAAACTTCTGCCAGTCTCCTGTTGTTCTTGTTGATGACATGACCAGTGCCACCAGGGAAAGTGTAGGGAGTTGCCTTCCGAAAAACGTGACCAACATGGGAGCAAGTCACAATCTCCAGAGAGCCTCCACATTGCCAAATCTGAGAAAAGGAGCAATCGATCTATCACAATCATTGCAAATAATGCAAAAATATTGTCTGACAAGTCTAACTAAGGCCAAATCTTAGATTTTATATGGTTCAAGCAAACGTTGGATGGACACAAAATTTACAACAGGTATATTCAGCTTGGCAAAAGATTCAACTTAGAATAGCTTTATTTATGTAAATATTGCAGCATTGCATTTGTGGAAGTAAGATGCATTTATTTTTTCATGTGTCTGTAGCAGACTACCAAATTTTCAGTTTCTAGTAGTTAACCTAATCACTATTTAATAGGTATTTAGTATCTAAAATCTGCTATGAATTAATGAATTTGTACATGTTAGATGCCATGGTAAATAACTAAATTTGATTTGGAGAAAAACCAATTGCACTCTATTCATCTGCAATTTTAAATGACCATTAATTCTCAGCTTTCCTGCACTCACTGTGTCTTACATCTTTGGATATGTCATACTAAAATGTGCTAGGACTCTACATCTGCTCAACATGTACGCATCTTCAAAATCTGTCTTCAAGTCACTAGCTATGTGGAGAGGTTTAGTATTTTGTGACTTTTGTACTTTAAACATCCATTTTTTAAAGATTTATTTATTAGAGAGAGATTGAGCACACATGAGTGGGGGAAGGGATACAGGGAGAGAATCCTCAAGCAGACTCCCCACTATGCAGAGCCCAGCTTGGGGCTGGATCTGTTAACCCTGGATCCATGACCTGAGCTGAAACCAAGAATCTGGCACTCAACCAGACAATCCTTTACATCCTTTCATGAAGAACTGATTACACTGTCTTGTAAGCAATTGTTTACTTCACTATCTCTCCTTTAAAACTACAAACTCTTAGAAAACATATGTCATATCCTTCCTGGTATCCTGGATTTACCGTGGAGTTCAGGCTAGTTATTAGGCATCCCAAACACATTTATTTCTATAAAATTACATGGTTTAGCCACAGGTTATACTAATAGCGTATGTGTATATGCATGTATATATGTAGATATACACACATATAACACACACTCATATATGTTTATTACATACATGTAACACATTGTGTATGTACTACAGGTTGTTTATCCCCATAAACAAGAGCCATAGTTATTGCTATATGTAACTGGAAAGATTGGATTTTATATTGTAACTAACATTGTTTTTATTTTAAGGAGAGTTGCTCATTTTGAAAGATAAAGTTTCCTTCAGCGGACCTCTCAAGCAACTTTCATCTTAGAAGAGGGTGGTCTTTGGGCTTGGGTAGCAGTAGGAGACATTCATTTTTATCAGAAGACGGAAGACGGTTAATAACAAGTTATATTCATCAACACTGGCTTGTGCATTACTTGTGCAATCTATTCTTTTTCATTTTCTAATGGTTTAAAGAGCATAATGCGAATAGTAAAGAAGTTTCAACCTAACACTAAAATGTAAGTATAAAATATAAATGAAATACAAAAGAATGGAATTCACTATTACCCTAAAAAGACAGGATAGAGCATTCTTAAATGATCAGAGTTTTTAATTGATTGGTAACTCTTTCATCTTTGTAGCATTAAATCTATAAACCTTCTTGGAATTATGCAATCCTTACATCCTTCCACCCCATTAAAATGGAGGAAGTTGACCCTTATCCTATCAAAGGTAAATCTATACTTGTATGTCAGTCTAGACCATAGCTTAAGAACTTCACTAGTCTGGTTCTTTGGTTTTCTCCAGAAACATCAATGATTTTGCTCATTACTAGATTATGTTTTACCTTCACATAATATCTCCTAAAATCTCCTATCTTCTAAATAGATTTTTAAAATAGAAAACAAGTAAAAAGATTATAAACACAACAAAAAGTTCTTCCCTTGGCCCTATTCTCCAGGTTCAAAGTATCTCATTTCTCTGTTTCCCCTCACTGTAAATTAACATAAAATTTTACAGACATATGTTGTTTCTCTTCCTCATAATGAAATGCTCTTTATTTTTGTAGCTCCCCCAAAATTGCCATGGTGAAAAACACAAATTTTTCCCTTAATGAATATCTAGTAGACTCCTTCTTGAATTATCTTGCTTTTCCTCCCAGGACCTCACTGTTTATGTTTTTCACCCTAAATTTATATTTAAATGTTAGCCTCTACCTTCCTACCTTCCTTTATTCATTCACCAGGCAGTTTTATTCATCTTACTATTTTGCACGTGATCTGAACACTCACAACCTCAATAGTGACACCTCAGCCCAGACCTCTCCTCTGGGATCCACACTTGTAGATCCAAACATCTGCTTGGTATCTCCTCTTGCCATGTCTCAGATACACCCAAGTAAACATGTCTGCAGTGGAACTGCTCATTCATCCTGGCCCTGTCAGCCAGCCAGGTCTTACTTCCTTTTAGTCCTTTTAAGTCCTTTTAATCATTTATAAATGGTGCCCCACTAAGTCTGGTGGTCAATTCAAAAAAAAAAAAAAAAAAAAAAGACCCCCAAACCAAAAACCAAAAACCAACCAAAAAAAGGAAAGAAAGAGAAGCCTCTCCCCCTTGCTACATCCTAGAAGTCATTATTGACTTCATTTTTTTTTTCATCACTTATATTTAATCTGTTAACAAATCCTGGCTTTGCTAGCTGTAAAATTAATTCTCTGGAAATCTATCTCTCTCTGCCTCTCCACCACCATCCTTATCCTAATCACCAACATCTCCTGCGGGTCAATTGCAATACACTCTAAATTGTCTTGCTACGCTCACTGTTGCTCTCCTGTAATTTGTTTTGTGCTGAGAAAGCACGGTGGTCTTTTAAAAATTTAATCATTTCATTTTACTTCTGTGTTTAAATACTTCCATGGTTTCTTACTGATCTGTGGAATATAAACAAAATCCTTTAGCAGGGCCTCGTAGACCCTACATGATTCTCCCCCTCTGTCAGTAAGCACTGGGGATATTGGCCCTCTGCCATTTCCTAGAATAACTCATATACTCTTTCACACACCAAAGCCTCAACAAGTGCTTTCCCTATACCCAGAATACAATTCTGTCTGCCCTGCATCTGACTGCCTCTTTCCCATACTTCTCATCTCTGCCAAAACATTGCTGCATCAGAGAGCTCTTCCCTCATTTCCATATTTAAAGTGTCCCACTCCAATTAATTTTCTGCAGGAGCACCCTGTTTATTTCCTTCTTTAATTATCACAATTTGTAATTTATCTATTCGTTTGGCTGCACACCTTTTTTTCCCCAACTAGAATGGAGACTCTAAAAGAGCAACGGAGCTATCTGATTATTGTTCATGCCCCCCTTCTCTCCCCACCCCCCAAGCCCAGGGCTTGTTTACACAGGAGATGTCACTGCATGTTGGTTGAATGAAAAAATGAGTAACTCACAATTAGCTACCAAAATTAATATTAAAGAAAAGCATCCCTGGCAGAATGATGAGATTTAAGCAGACATATTTTGAAGGGGTTTTAAACAGCATTTATGAAGGAAATATTTTTAGTACCAGACTAAGCACAGTGGTCTAGTAAAATGGAACGTCACTGTTATTTCACACGCTTTGGGAACTGACAAAGTTCTTTGGAGGTCACAGCACAACAGATAAACATTAGAAATGGTTGACGGCATATGACAAACAAGGTTTCTAAATGACACAATGTTAATTTTTAATGTTACTAAAGTAACCATTTAGTCAAATTCACATTATCTCTCTCTTGAAAACACAATTTAGTAAATACTCAGGTATTTGTACCAGGCCACTCAGCAAAGTGCCCCAGATTCAGAGTGGAAATAAAGTGCCCTCATTTACCCAACCACAGTGCTAATCCATATTTGCAAAAAGGCAAATTGTGCACTCAGAAGACAGTTGTCAGTCACTGGTTTGTATGCAACAGGGTTTATTGTACAGTCTAAATTTAGAGAAGCACATCATGTGTTTCATTGGAGAGGGAATTTCAGATATTCTTTTCGTTGTGTTGTTAGTAGTGGTAGAGCTCCCCATCCTCTTCTATGGATCAGGCATGACTGAACATCTCCTTTCTTCCTTCACCCAACTCATATACAGGAACTACATGAGTGAAGGAAAGACTGGCATTTCACTCCCTGTTGGATACTTGCAGAAGCAGACTACCTTGGCGTTACCATCAGAACACAGCAAAATGTAGAGAGTGAGACTGTGGAAAAACGTGATCCTAGGAGGACAGGAAACACTTCTGTCCTAGTGAATCCCTAAGATGGGCTAGGGTATACTGGATGGCTTGTTGGTAGCCGATTGGTATATCCAGTCATGTAGTACTCCTGGGAAGGAGTAGTCTTTGAAGACAACGGGATAAGACTTTAGCAGTTCCCAAACTCTATAGATCATGGAATAGAGAAGAGGGAAAATGAGCTGTGAGACTAGCAATATCGCAGATCAGAAAGGAGATGTAACATTGAGAAAGGCAGCTGGAGACCATTCAGGCTAATAGGCTAAGATTTAAACCCTCTGCAGAAGGCCCTTGGATAACAGAGGCAATAGAAGGTGAAGCTGAGAATACTTCTGAGAAAACAATGAAACTGTGTATAGAAGACTCATGGATGGAGGCCACTAGTAGAAAGTGGAACCAAACTGAGCCAACAGCAGGCGGCCATCATAAAACATGAAATCAGATGAAACCTGACGTTTCTGTAGCCCTACTATTTGACATACACTGGGGGAGTGGGAGCCCGGAAAACCCTGCCTTCCCTCTTCTAAGTGCTTCTGTCAGCATGGGCCTGGGGAGAGAAGAGAATTTGAGGCATGCACTGCTTATGAAACCAAAACTTTAAACTGGAACATTACTAGTATTTTTAAGAACCAAAAGTGGCTAGAAAGCTATTGAGTATATCCTAAATGACATCAGGACTGGAAAGGACTATTCCTCAGAGCATTATACAAGGATTGGAGAAAAAAAAATCATTTTAAGTTTGTGCTTCTCTAAATTTAGACTGTACAATAAACCCTGTTGCATACAAACCAGTGACTGACAACTGTCT